CAGAAAAATGATCAAAACTGTCCATTTAGCAAGAAGTACCTGTTAAATTCTGAGTGCTCATCAGAGAAATGTCGAAGTTTTCAAGATTCCAGCCTAATACAAACGATATAAATTTTAGAAGCTTATTACCTTCTTATAGTAGGCATGTTAAGATAAGAAAAATGTATACGGAACAAAATTGGAGATCTAATGAGTTACGCACATTAATTTTGAAGTTCCCATAATAAGGAGGAAAAAAACTCAAAAAGGCAGAATCCAATATTCTTAGTTCAATAAGTTTCAATAACATTAAAAATTACGACGAAGGAAAAATAATAAACCGCTAAACAAAGCTAAATTCGATAAAAATGAGAATTTACTTACAAACTCTATTTAAATATACTTAGTTTTGGAAATGCCTTAAATTTTCGGCATTTATTTTCGACACAGAATACATTAATTCTTTACAATTATCTGAAAACATGAATAAAATCGTTTGGAATAAGCAAAACCTAAAAGATTCGAGAAAAGATTCCTCTGAAAATTGTCGCCATTGTATAAACAATAGGTTTTAAGATTTAAACAAAATTCATAACACGAGATAGGAAGAAAATGAATAAATTGAAACTAATACTAGTAAGAAAAATTAAAAAATTACTTACACTCGAACTTAACTAAACAATAAAAGTGCTGTTTCAAATTCACAAAATATATATATATATATACACACAATATTTCCCCATGCCTTTCATACGTAAAAGTAACCAAATCATTTCTTCACGATATCAACAATACTATAGTTAAAAATTAGAAAAATTAGAAATAAAACTTACCGGGACATCAGATTCCATTGGTAAGCTTTGAGAAAGTTTCACGTGCATATCTTCACAGTTTACACATGGAGACACAACAGATAAGGCGACTACTTTGCAGAAAAATAAAAATATAGGAATGAGTACTAAGAAATTGAATTTTACACTATTGTTTAGAGAACTTGTCCAAGCATGTTGAGCCATATTCTTCTGACTTGCTAAAAATCCTTAAAATAATATGCTACATGTGCGTATTAATCATCCTTTTATAGTTATAAATATATCATTTTTAGTATACCTCACATAGATTTGAATGATAAGCAGCGTACCTATTCAATATTGCAATAAATACAACTTGTTTATTTTCCGAAACCGAATTTTCAATTAATGATATTCAATATATCACATGTATGGAGCACTTATTTGATATTGTTCAGAATAAATTAATTTGCACAAGTGATTATTGTTGCATTATATCTACCACAAAAGATACTATTTTAAATCGTTTTTATGCACTAAAAATGTTCCAACTTATGCCATACGTAATGATATGATAAATGGAAGACTAGCTAAAAACTGTTTTTTTTTTCACTTCTTAAATATCCAAAACTTTATAACAGCATTTTTATTTCTCCTGTTGAAAAATTGTGCTTCCGTAACTATCAAGCAAAATCACGATTAAATTAAGAGTCCAGTTTCGATCACAGTGTGTTTTATCTGTAGCTGTTACAAATAATTTCCATTAGCTCAGGAAAAAAATTGTCAGTCAAAACTATTTTTTTTAAAAAAAAGTTAATATCTTGAATGAAAATGAAAGCTAAGTAAAAAATATTTAATTTGAAATATCCTTCAAAAAATTTAATACCCGTTGCAGCAACTGGTACAATTGCAGATGAAAGAAATCAGACAACAACAACCGAACATGTATTGGCTCGACCTGCCACTGAATCATCTCCTTTTCTAGGAAATGCTATCCTCAAGTTGGAGAGAGGGAACACCGTCACCGCAGGGGGGCGCTACATTTCCAAAAAATGATCGCGGGCATCGACACGGCTTGGGAAACAGTTTGGGTTACCGATCAGTTGACTTAATCACCATCAAAACTGTTTGTTTTCAAGCTTTTTTTTTTTTTTTTTCGTTCTGACTCGGGTTGTTCCTTTTTGAAGAATAAATGCACATATTAATATTCAAATCATATTCAGAAAAAAATGATGAATATTTACAAATTAAAATTTTATAGTTACACACTGAAAAAAAGTATGGTCAAAACTACATAAATATGGTAAAATTTACCATGTTATGAGCCCTACGGAAACAAAAAAAAATCGGGAATTTTTTCCGAAAAGTTTTGGTAATAATTTTTAACAATAAACATGATTTTATAATGCGTGATACAGTTTTGCCAAAATATGATAAAATTTGGTAATTTTATCATGGTACCTTAGAGTATGGCTAAAAAACCATTTACTTGGTTAAATTTACTACTCAGTTTTGTATTTTTTTTTCTAAATGTGTGAGAAAAAGAGTTTTAATTTTGAGAATCAGAATACCGTACATTTTTGTTTTATTAACCAGAATTATAGATTTTTTTTAACCATAAACGACATTACCATACTGTACGGTATTTTTACCCGAATACTTTTATTCAGGTAAAATCAGTACAAAATACCGCAACTGTTAAAATAGTTACATTTACGTTAATATTTAAAGTTATATATGAAGTAATAAGCATTATAACCATTACTGTTACAATGATGGAAGTGATCAATTGTAAAACAAACGTTTTATTGTAAGTCTCTACAACTACACTGAGAAGCAAAATATAGTCAAAACTACCGGAATATAGTAAAATTCACAGTATTTTCGACCGAAAAACTTTACAAGTGATTAAGGAAAAAATAACAATAAAATCTGGTTTTATAATGCATGATAAAATTTTGTCAATATTTTGTAAATAAATTTTTGTAAATACTTTCGGTACTTTTTTTTATATCTTAGAGCATAGCTGATAACGACTATGGATAATCCGCAGTATTTCAATACAAAATTTATGCAAAATTTTATACAATTCAATTAACTACAAAAATCAATTCTTTTACAAAATTTTATTTTTTTACTTACATAAGTTATAATCTATACTTATTAAATTTATTACATTTATTAAACAATAAATAAGTTATATTTATTCTTATTATAAGGCTTTTGAAACATTATCTCTGATAAATGTATGCAACAAATCCCAAATTTTGAATGCAAAAATACAAAACGTCATTAGAAATCGAATTCTACTAATTAATCTATTTTCGTAATTAGTCTCTCAAGTGAAAAACATTTAACGAATTTTTATAGTAACCAAAACTTAAACAAAATTTTTAAATATATATATTTTCTACAATTACAATTGTAAACCGAGCAACATTATTAAATATAAATTCTATCTCAAGGAAAAGTTGAAACTGAAACTGGGTTAATGCGATGTTATGTATATAATATACAAGTGAGATGACAGGTGATGATACCATTCCCTTTTATATTTACTAAATATTTTTCATATATTTTTGATTTCATTATTTTAACAAGGAATACAAATTACATTTTTAAGGTGGTGATTATAGGATATCCTTTTTTTCTTATTTGTATTAATTCAATGCATTTATATGCTCAAAAAATAATACTTCTTGTGTCTTATCGAGCAAACAGTTTAAGACTGAAATATATAATATACCAATATTTTATAATAAATAGTAGTTACAATGATTTAAGCTAAAATATTTAATGTTTTAATGTATATACTAACATTCGTTCCTTGATGAAGTACATCTGAAAGCTTTTTTAATTAAGACTTTTTTAATTACTTTTTTAATCAAAATCAAGTGAGCGTTCTACAAATTAAATCCCACTTCAAACATAATAAGGAAATTAAAAAACACCAAACCTAATTAAGTTCCGTAGATAAATTTCTCACTTTAAAACAGTATAAAAGTATTACAACATGAAAACTATAACAATTAACAATATAAAAACTATAATTATATAAAAAAAAATGCACTACGTTATGAGTCTTATAGAATTAATAATATAATTACTATCTTAGGTTAAAATATATTATTTTGTAGAGATTTAGTCAACTTGGTTTAATTATTAATGCGCAAATTTCGACTCGTAAAGAGAAGTAAATTTTTTTTAATTATATGATTTAAAATGAAGATTGATAATAACACACTTGTATATTGACGATGTTCCTAGTTAAAACAAACTTTTTGACGAATAAATAAAAGGGAAATTTTAAATTTTTTATTGTTCTTATATTTTAAAATATTACTTCAATTTGTGAGTTTTATTTACAAAAAAATATATTATAAAAAAACGGGAACTAAAATTTGAAAGAAAAATTTATTAAAAATAATTTTTATAATTATATAATTTATAAAAAATATATTGTAGCACTTTGTGTAAAAAAACTAATATCAAATTGAACTTACATTTAAGTAACAAAATTAAAAAAATGACAAAAAATTATTAAAATATTTTTCTTAAATATTTAATAGAATTTCTTTTTTTTTAACTGTTACATCTGATAATTCATTCAACGACCGAATTTTCTGAAAATTGAAATGCAAATAAATAGTTAAGCATGTGGCAGAAAGATATTTCGAATAGAAATAATATTATGTATTAGTATGTACTTATGTAATATGTAAGTATGTAATAATTAGTATTAGTATGTATTTATGTAATAATTAGTATTAGTATGTATTTATGTAATAATTAGTATTAGTATGTATATATAGTATGTAATTTTATAGAAATATAAAATTATGTATTTAAAATGTAATAAATTAAATTATCAGGTATATAATTATCAAAAAATACTTTTTAATAGCTTGAAAGTTTTTATTTCACAGCAAAATTTATTTTTGAGGATATATATATATATATATATGACTTGAACACATCCATTTTCGGGCCCATCCAAGGTAACTAACAAATTGAACTCTCTTCAGTATTGCAGTAAGAACGTACCATAAGAGATCCCTTTATTTATGCTTCAGTTTTCATATTTTGTAATCTGGTAATCCTATTACGAAGATATTTACATATTTTCCAAATCAAAGCCCATTGTATCACTGTAATGGAAAATTAACATGAAACACGGCGACCACTATATAAAGCTTCTTACCTCTAACAGATGAGAAATGTACAATTATGATTGTTAGAGCATCCTACTATGAACATGAGGGTCTCGATTCGAATCTTGCTGTCAACTATCGAATTTTTTTAAACATTTCTTCCTTAACATCATTTTTGAGATTATGCATTTTTATCGAAAAGAGGCATTCACTATTTCGATTTTTATTTATACTATATTGACTTACTTACTATATTTAATAATGAATATAAGAGGTTATCGAATTCCGACTTTATTTGATTTGGATATATTTTGCTGAATATTAAGAAACCCGTTTTTTAAGGGTGCAGTTAAACCTTATTCCAATTATTGTTAAAGCTTACACCAATCGGCGACTCTTTAAAAAAGAAAGCTGCGTTTTTCGGTATTCCGAGAATTTGAAGTAAAAATAGTGCATATTTGAATTATTTAAATAAATTCGACCGTTTAATATTTTTAAATTTTGAATTATCCAGCATATTATATAATTGCCTTACGCTTATCCAGTTTAGGACCAGTTCACGGTAAAACAGACATATCAAATACGGTTCTTAACTTCACTAAGAACGCATTCTGGTTCACTATCCACTATATTTTTATATATGTCTTTAATTTCATATTTCGTAATCAGGCTACTTAGTTATGAAAATATTTTTAAATGACTTTGTCAAGATTTCAGTAAGTAGAGTTTTGTTTTATATTATACTTATTGCATTTTATCTTGTAAACTTTTTGCAATTTTTGTTTTACAGTGTATTTTTCTAAAATGTTTATGCTTTTTTTGTTTTAGTTTTAGTTTCTAATCGGCTTTCTTTTGTTGCTCCTCACACGAGGTTGGGTATATTTTGCTTCGGCTATAGTAATATCAAGTTAAAAAGCGTTACTTTTTGCGGATGATATTGCGTTAGTTAACGACAAGATTATATTATTCCACTGTTTTGTTTTCCGTCGCCTTTAATTTTAAAAATTCTTATTATTTTAATAACCAATTAATTTCCTTTTGTCTTAAGAATATTTTTTTCTTTCCTTGTTCTCTTTGTCTCTGTATATTCTATTACATATTATTATATTATACATATATATATATATATATATTTTCTTACACTTGTCACTTTTCTTACACTTGTAACAAAAGAGGTATTTATGAGGAATAAAAAAATCAACCTTATTTCAACTAACGAGAGTGNATATATATATATATATATATACGTTGATAGAATAGCAAGATAATTAATATAAAGAATGATCTATGTAAAAATCTAAAAGCACGACATCGTTGTTACACATCCACCACTGTTTAAACAAAGCTAAAAACATTTTTGATGACGAAAAAATTAAGAAAATTTTGCAAATAGATACATAATATTAAATCCAAACAATAGTAAATGTGACAAAAGTAGAATGTATAAGAAAATATTTCATTGTAAAAAATTAAAATATTTTTTTTTATTTTTCAACATCATTAATTTTTTTATTTTCAAAATAAATTCGTAATGATGTACGCAAATGAAATAGAAAAGAGAAACTAACTGAATTATAAACTTAAAATGTTATGTGTCGTCTAGTGTCACCATAGCAACAAGACAAACGCCCGTAGTGACGTCTTGCGGTGACACATTTTTCACCATTCCGAACCACAAAAAGTGTGCCTATTTAAAAGAAAAGAAAAAGACGTACTCCTGAAAAAAGGAGCAGTACAGGAGAGGGAGCAAGAATTTTTCTATTTCTTTCTATTCTATTCTTTTATTTAAGTTAATAAACTTAGACGCCTTCTTCTGTAA